GACTATCTATTTTCCTTGGAGGAGAGTCCCTACCAGACCTGAGCTCTAAATATTTTGCAAATCTTCACTGATATCTTTCAAGATCCTTTATGAGTCCAATGACAATCTGGTGACCATAACACAGAAGTTTACTTAAACTTGGAATGTACAAATGTGAAATATAATGCACGCAAGGTTTCAATATTCTCAAATAACCTACAAGTTCTCATTAGGGATCCAAGTGATTTGTTTGCAGAATTAATAACACCATCAATATGGGATTTAAAAGTTAGCTGACAATCAAAAATAACACGAAGAATTTTTTTATACAGCTAACTCTTGCAAGAACTGCAGAAATATAATAATTGTAATAATTAACAAATAATGACCTATAAAATGACATCACTACATTTATCAGTGTTAAGTATCAATTTATTACAAATGCACCAAGAGACAAAAATAACTACGTTACTATGCAAATTAACACTATTTTGTACTGTTTTGAACGGCAAAAAAGCTCAATGTCATCTGCACAAATTAACACATGATAAGTTCATCTGTAACATCATTAAAGGAAATAGAAAAAAGTAGGGGGCCAAATTAGATCCTTGGGGTACTCCTGAAACAGGAGAGAAAGAGTAGGACGGGTGCCCAGCGTATTCAGCATAATTAACGTGTGACTCCAAATAAGATTCAATTAAACTGTAATAATATGATGGTATGTTAAGAAAATGCTGCCATTTTAACATAATAACATTATAGTTTCGAGTATCAAATGCCTTAGAGAAGTCTACAAATTACATCTATGTGATCAAGCTCTACCAAATACAAAGAAATAAACTGTATACAAGTGAAAAGATTGGTTAAGATAGATCTTGCCTTGTTAAAGCCATGTTGTCTATCTGAAATATATGGCAAAAAAGCTCCATATTTTATATCATAAATATAATTTTCCAATTTTTTTGAAAAATTGGCATGAAGAGAAATAGGATGATCGTTTTCAATTATACCTCTATCACCATTTTTAAAAATCGGACAGATTTTCGTATCTTTAAAGAGATCTGGAAGGTATACAGGAAAATCCACTGCAAAGAAAAAGCAAGCGATTTTAAAGATTTGCTGAGCAAAATTGAGGGTATATCATCTGGGCCAGAAGTTAGCCTATTGGGTATATTTTTAAATTTATGAAATATAAATTTTGAATCAATATATGAGATATTTATCAATAAGCCATCAACACGAGCAATTTGAGATTGACATTAAGGATCTACATTTGTAAACTATTTTTCAAAAGAGGCAAAATTATTTGCATTCATCTTGGAATCGTTACTGAGTGTTCCATTATACATTAGGCACTTTGGAATGCAAGTAAATTTATATTTAGACATTGTCAGAGACCAAAATTGCGATGAACTATTAATTAAATCTATTTAAGCCCATTGTAGTCTGCATTACCATTAGTTCCATTAAAATTTCTAAATTAAGCCCATTGTAGTCTGCATACAGAACCTTGATATTGTTATAATTGTTGCACTTAAAAGTTTGATATCGAAAAGTAGGCATTTCCTATGATCTTATGCTTGTTCTTATACTTGAAACAAAATAGTTCAAATTTTAACATATTATTAATTTTAAAACTTGGCCCCCTGAGTGGGCCTCCACTACGCTATGCCACTGGCTGCTGCTGCTGCTGCTGCTGCTCTGGAACTGTAAGGGAGATTTCTATTTGCACAAATGTTATCATTACTATGTGGCCACTCAAACCAACATTTCGTCTCGTACTAGGTGCAGTAATAACTTTCATCTGCCTAAGCTGCAATTCTAATAGAGGATTTGGATCAACTCTGGTCCTGGTTACCATCTGGATGAGATTACCTGGTTACCATTATAGACCCGTAAGAAGTCATGCTTCACTTCGTTCCTATCAAGAACACCATGCTTGGACCACGTATAAGTTGGAAAGTTAAAACCTCCATGAATAACCACCACCTCATATTGATTACATACTCTTTCAACAGTTTCAAAAAGTATCTGATCCGTATGCTTGTGTTGTAGTCAAAAGTAGGTGGTCTCTATACCCCCCCTCATCAACAATTATAATTTGAAAACTCATCGCAGATAATTTTAACCACAAAGTTTTGACATCTCTATCTTCAAGTTCAGTCAGCCTGGTTATAATACATTTAGTTTGCATTTTCTGCTCGAAGTTGACAGTCACTCTTCCGTCCTCTTTATCCATTCTGTAAACACCATACCCTGTAATATTTATCAGCTAGTCTGCAATATCAGAATTTAACTATGTCTCTGTAAGAACAATGAGATCTGGTTTTGTCTGATAAACCTCCAAGATAAAAAGATCAAACTAAGACATTAGGGATTATACATTGGTGTATCAAACCTTGAGGGAAAGAGTTTCAACTGCTACAGCCTTTGCTAGTTTTTCAGCTGAGAAGCAGGACGTTCGCAGATGCTTTTTGGTATACCTTTCCTACATTTTATAGTTGCTTCCGTGTCATTCTTATGTCTTTCTGCCACCTCTACTCTCAGCTCCCCGATTTCCTCACACTGTTATGGGGTCTGAACATTATTAAATACAGTATTCCGGAGCAGTTCCTTATTCCTTCGTAACAGCTCATTAACAAGTATTGCCGATTTTAACATAATCTCCAGTGGTAGAGGTTTAGTAGGACTGGTCCCAGGCGTATGACTTCCAAAATGTTGGAGTTGAATTCTGCGGGTAGCTTTTTCATGGAGTTCAGATCTCTCTGAATTTTCCAATGCCTTCTTTCTTCTTCTCAGTAGGAGTTTCAAACTTGCTTTCTTGAATTCCATAGATGATATTTTTTTAGTCTATGGTTTCTTTCCTCTATCTCTTCTGTGACTGTTTGCGTAATATTAGAGGAACCTTTAGTTTTGAGCGCTTCCCCAAACTTTTCAATTTTGGGAATTTACTGTGGTTTCCATTTTTACATAGATATTCTGTTGCATTGATTCAATTGCATCACAATTTGCCGTCAGCTTGACATTACCCTCTTGAACGGACTTCACTTTACTTGAAATTTTCTTCAAACCAGTTAGGCGTATTTTCAAATTAAACAAAAATTCCCAGTTCCCAGATATGTCGTTCCTGATCTTTTTATGGGTTGCATCCTGGTTTCCCTTGAGGAAGCAAATACATCTTTCATTTCCTTATGCAATTTATCTAGTTCTTCTTTAAGATGTTTTGCAAACTCCCTTGCCCCCAAATTACCCTCCATTAGTAATTCCGCAACTTAGATTTAGAGGTAGATTTGACATACAACCCCTTGCTGTTACCACAATGATATAATACTTGAACTCACAAAAATGTTTCCATCGAGCAATTTTCTTCCACCTTGGGATTCAAACTCTGGTTCTTAGATTTAGCACACCATTCGTATTATCTCATAAATCACCAGCCTTGCAACAAAACCCAACCTCCCTGACTCTTTAAAACCAAAATTGTCTGATAACATTTGCAATTTTTAAACATTTTTAGATTTTCAAACATTTCTTGGCCTATCCACATCTAGTTTTAAAAAACCGATTTAATTAAGAAAAAATCTTTATCATCAATATTGTTCAATGTAGTTGTAGAAGATGCCAAAAATTTTAAACTTGTGTAATTTTCGAAAATATAGAAAGTTCAATGAAAATGGGACCGTGTTCCTTTTTAAAACCATACCTTACTCTGTTTAAAAAAAAAAATTAAAGACAAAATTCTGAGCCATTATTAAGAAAATATTTTCTTAATTACCTTTATTTCAAACAAAAATTACACCAACTGTTAATATTTTCAAAACCTTTTTGTAACCTTATTTAATGATACAATTTTGAAAGACATATTTTATTAAGGAAAAAAATATTGATCATCAATATTGTATTTTTGCAATTTTTAGTAAGATTTAACCAGCAATTAAAGTAAGATAAAAACCTACAAGGTGAGATAAATCCAATCATTTGTGCTAGGATTCACTTTGTCAACCTACAGTTAGGGTGCAATTTACATCAAAATTGAGTCGTATAGACTTGTGAAAATTTTACACATGCAGCGGAAGAGACAAAAACTATTCAGAGTGGTCACTTTCCGGAAACATGGAAAACCAGGAAAAATCCGTATATTTCATTGCTCTGGAAAAGTAAGTGAAAGAGTTTAGAGGTTAAAACTATATATTAGCACTAACATTAATACAGCATTATTTTTGCTTAATTTTTATTTTTTAAGGAAATATTCTTAATTTGTACCTTCTTACAGAGAAGTAAGCTAAGATAGCTTCAATATTTTCATCAAGTGGTGTGAAGTTACAAATCTTATCAGGAAAAAGATTTTTAAAATGCACTAGAAAACGGGGAAGAGTCAGGGAAATTTGTTACCGGAAATGAGTGGCCACCCTCCTATTAGGGCACCAAATGAAAGTAAAATAAATTCTCTCACAGGTGGGTGCGAAAATGAACTTGCTCCCGACAGAAAAACATAACTTCGAATACCTAATTAGGGAAGCCCACGATGCGCAAGCTAGTTTCTATAGTACTTGCAAGGCATCTGAGAAACATGCAGTGTACAATGCTATATGATAAACTGAGACATAAATAGAATGAAAATTCAAAATAAGCATACACTAGTAACACAGGTAATCAATCTGCATTATCCTTTAATCAGAAAATGTAACTTAGCGTAGGAATAACTCAGTGTGAGAGAAAATATGTTTTCATAAGATTAGTAACAATTATGTAATAATATAATTTGGGGAGTCCAGAGCTTTTGGGTTTTATCATCTGCTTAGTGCACATTCAGTGAAATATTGCTACTATATAAAAATTACTACTTATGCTAATAATTAACTTGAATATTCCAAAATTAGCTTTTAATTTGGCAAAAAGTTTGGTTGTGTTTTGTTTTTTGGGCACTGCAAGTCCCCCCCCTCCCGAGTCGAAAATCCAGAACAACTTTGCGCGATATATAACAACAACAAAACATTCAAAAAACAAAAACAGCGTCTTACCAGCAGTTTCAGCAAAAGGATCACTGAGATCAAATCCAATGGCTGGCTTTGGAACCATTTTACTAGTGTCTTGACTCCATTGGGCAGGAATTGAACCACGTAACTGCACAAATGAACTAAACCGCCCTTCATGCAATGATGAAATTCCAGAGTCATGAACCATTTGTTCCGTTTCTACTTCATTTGCAACATCTCCCTAGAAACCATTTATTTCCTATTTTATATAACTTGCATAAAATAAGAAAATACAAATAACTGAAATACAAGATGCTCATTATTAGTAAAAGTTTAACTAATAACGATTTTAGGAAAAAATAATAATAGAGTCAATTTCATTTAAAGTCAGCCTGAGATGGCAAATGGTTAGAATCATGTCCTATTCCTTCTAGCCTTGAAAAGTGAGACATGATCATGACCAAAATCAATGGATTAGATTCTTAACAAATTCCAAGTCAGGCAAAAGATGAAAAATCCATGGTGGCCATAAACTTGTGGTATGTTTATGATATAAAATGACAATTCTCATTCTAGCTATGTGTCGCATTTTCTCACAAAGAGAACATGGTTATAATAAACACAATGGAGTCCAGAATATTTACATTCAAAAATATTTTAAGTGTAATTAAAGTGAGAAAAATTTTAATTTAAAAACTTACATCAAAATTTGCACCCCTTTTTAAAAACCTAGTCCCAGCATATTTACTGGATCGCCGAGCAATTATTGTCACATACACAGAACGTCCAAAGGTGCACATATTAGATTGACCTACAAAGCCATGTGTAACATATAATATCCAATCAGGATGAAGATGATCTTCTATTGGTGTCAGGAGATGCGAATTCCACACAAACCTCCTATTGGGTTCAAATCGCACACCATAATCTGTTCTCTCAACTTTGCCATTCTCTTTAGGAATACTGTAACAATAGGAAAAAAATATCAAGATTCTAATTTTAAAACCTACTTCCCCACTTTGAAATGGAGAGGTACCCAGTGTATTTCAAACTTAAAAGTGCAAATATAGCTCTTTGTGCAGTCAAACAGCAAATTATATTTTCTTGGGCCTCTGAAAATTTGGGCATAAATCCAATGTTCAAACAATATTAGTAACATAAATACTGTTATGGATATTGACTCTTAATGCCGAAAGCTTGATGGAAATACTGAGCCGATTAGTTAAGATTGATTCTTGATTTTGAATTAGTTAAATATTTAATTCCCTAGTAAAATTTGAAAATCACTGGGCAATATAAAATTCCATTAAAGGAAACATACCTTTGAATATTGTTTTCACAATATATACATTCTTTTGGGCATTTGGATGAACCATCATCTGAAAATAAATAAAAACTAAATGATCTTAAATCTTTAAATTTCTTAAGATAATGAAGCACATAAGATTGTGGAGAACACATTAGAAGCAAAATGAAAAACAAAATGTGTTCATGATAAACTCAGTGACATGTACTAAATCTAATTAGTTTTCATGTATTATTGCAGGAGTTCAAGCTTTATTGCAGGAGTTCAAGCGCCCAAACAAAAAATCACAATTGGTAAGTAATTTGCAAACTTAAACATTTTGACTTCTTGAACTGGATTATAATTGTGTCTTGGTAACAGAACGTTAGGGTTTGAGTTAACAAAGTTCTCCCAAATCCATATCCAGTATTTAATGACATTCCTCAAGGCTCCAAACAAGAGCTATTACTGTTTATGATATGTCTACTTGATTGACACGAATAGAGAACTGATACCGACAGTTACTATGACTCTAAAGTTTCTTGTAATTTGTTGTATTGGTTTTCTCCATGCTGGATCCGGAGCCAACATGTGCGTCGGCATGCGAAGCGATTCTCCCACCAGGAATCTCCACTAGCGGGACGTTGTCCAAGTGGCAACAAGCTCTAAGCTCCTGGCATGTCAGGTAGTGAAGTGCATGTAAGCATGTGCTTCCAGAGGGAAATAATCTGTACGAAGGATAAAACTGATGACTGTGTTCTATTTATAATTCTTACCACTTGAACACATTCAAGCAATATTACATTTTTTTATTAATATTTCACTAAAACAGGCAAGACATTTTGAATATCCATATAATCCCCTGAATATTAGAAATAAGCATGCATTAATGCTAACAAGTTGCAATAAAAATTAACAAGAAATTATCTATAGGTCACTATTTTTAGTAGGTAGAGCTTACATACTGACATACTATGTAGTTATGTTACTATGTTTATCTACTGACATCCCTACTAAAATAATTAATATTCATCTGAAAGTCACAAAAGCAAGCGTGAGAAGAGACTCTAAATAAATGCTTTCTTCACAACAGGCTTCACACTTTGATAAAACATTCAAAATAAACTCATCTAGGTTGTTGTTGTCTTTTTAAAACTTTTTAACAATTTATGAAGTTTGCGAGCACAAAATGTTTTATTTACAATACATGCAGAATATTTGATGAAGACAAAATGTAAACAAATTGGTATAATTCACCATATCAGTAAATGAAATACTACTTTCTTTTCAACTTTCCTGATACAAGTAGTGCTTGACCAGGTCTTTTTTTAAAACAAATTTGTATATTTAGGAAGGCAAAAATACTGATCTGCTTAGGAGTATAATGCACCATCAAAATAGCATTGTGGTGTGAAGCATCACTGTGTGTCATGGTTTGGAAGATAATATAAAGTGTGAAGCACCCAGTCTATATTCATATTCACACAACTAACAATTGGACACCTTCATGCACATTGAAGACAATGTGGTAAGTCCCCAAATTCCAAAATGTCAGACATTTCTGTACAATTCTCTTGTTTACTAATTTTGTCCTTTTCTCCAACTCAACCACCTTGCAGATCCAAAAATACCTCACACTTACACAACAAAAATTATTAATGTATCCTCTCACAATACAAAAAGAATGAAGAGATCATATCTGAAATATAATATTTTTAAAGAGTTTTGAACATATCCTCTTAAATAATTAATATTCTGTTTATTTGGAATCAAAGACAAAGAACACAATGTAAGCAATAAAATTAACATTTAATGAAACTGAAGATGGACTATGATAGTGAACATACTGGAAGGTCTATGAAACAATTACTTTCCCCTTTATGGCAATATTTCAACTAAATCAATACAATGGCGGACAGGATGGAATTTAGGAAATTGTATGATCATTTCGTATACTAGTTTCAAGAAATGATATTTCAGTAAATGATAGAAAGTTGGGAAGGGGAATAACCCATTTCTTCCTAACATTGTGTAAACACAACTATTTTATTTTACCTATACCATTTCTTGAAAGCGTTTGTAAGTTTTTGTACAGTAAATATCCTTAATTACTTCAAAACTATTTTTATTTGATAAATGTAAATTACATTTTACATATAATTTAAACATATACACATTTAAAATTTTTCTCCATCAAGACACATACTCTATTTTGACACCTCTACAATATTAGTCTTTTAATCAATGTGAATTTTTATTATCATACTGCAAAATATAATATGTACAAATAAAAGTGATAATATTTGAGCAGAATTTGATTTTCAAAATAAATTTTATAGACATATAAACATAGTGTTGCGTTTATGCAATGTTGGGCATTTCCCAGCAGATTTGGGAATGCCCAAATTCTATTATGGTGCCCGACAAACGGTTCACAGGAGCTTAATATTTTAAAAGATATGTAATATTACATAGAATATGCTCTCTTTGGATTGTTCCATTGATGGATTTGCCAAAGGATCTATGTAGTTTTCTAGACACTAAAAAAGGCATGGCATAGTTGTGCCTTCCTAAACAAAAGTTTGTACAGTCTTTCAAAGATACCAATTGCGAAATAAAGAAAGTTGTGAAACAAGTTTGAAGAAATAGAAAGACATCTACACATATTTCTCAATAACACCTTAGGTAAAGAACAGAAATTTGCAAAACCGAGCCCTTTCTTTGATGAATGTACAAAAGACATTTGCAATCTGGAGTGTTTTTACCAGAATTTATCAGTACTTATGGGCAGATAGTACCATTCTTGGGGTGACACTTAACTAAAACAAGTGAGATATGGGATGTTTGGCTTGATCTTGTGGTGCATATTGACAGGGGAAAAATTATTTTTGGAACCATATTATGTTCATGGCCGAATATCAAAGAAGGCTGATTTTAGATGAAGTAATTTGCAATTTGAGGAAAATGCTTGCTGAAAATAAAAACCTCTCTTGCTGTTTCTTGGCAAACTTCTATATGTATCATACTATTTTTTATCATTTATTAGTAATATATATCTATGCAAATAAAATTGTGGCAACTGAGAAAAAAAGCCATCCGAACATTTGCTTCGAACCCAAAAAATTAGTTCTAAACAAAAGATGTATATGATTACATGAAAGAGAAGCATAATGAGATTTTGATTTTTTTAAAACCCTGATAAGCAAGTAATATTTACATTCTTACAACAGGAAATACTTTAAATTTTATTGATTTTGAGTCCAAACTAGTACACTCACTTCTTAGAAGCAAGGGGGAATACTAATAAAATTATGGATACTGGAAATCCAAACTGCAATTCTGATACTCACATTGAAATTTAGGGCATTATATAAGAAGCGAATGTGGCAATGGCAATAGGCCCATGCTGATTATATAAATTACGATACGAATGCTTGCAGACAGCATAATGTTCTTAAGAACTGGACAATTTTGGAATGTAAAAAGTGTCAAACACATTTAAATTGCATTTTGTTTTTACACCTTCATGCATAATTTGAATTCTGTTTGCATATCAGTAAAATTAGTAAACAAAATTCCAATTTCTTTAAAAGGCGGATAGTACACTTCCTTTCTGGAAAACTCAACACTGCATATACACAATTGTACTGTCCAGCATCAACCAAGAATCAAAATATTTTTAGGAAATTGGTTTGTTATCTTAGGGGACTTATTATCAATATTTAACTAAAATTTACACAATTAATTATGTATTCCACTGTTTGGAAAGAAGTGGGATAATGAAGTAAATAATAGAGTACTTAAGGACAGAGCAGTAGTGGATGCAACTTAATTAAGATATCACAATATTTAATATTTTTTATTTAAGGACAACAAGATAATGATGTAAAGAGGAAAATATTTGAAAATTTCAACAAAAACATCCACAACTTCAAAGAACACAATGATTTTAACTCTTCAATGGGGTGAAGGGCGGGACTTAGGTGGGTGCAGTACCATTCCAACATACGTGAAGGGAAAGCGGCATCACAACAGTACTATTCCAACACGGAACAAAAGAGGGGTTGTGTGTATCACGGCAGTAGTTTAGTGCAGTTCTAAAGACCTCCATCCCCAAAAAGCCATCCTCCTGCTGAGAGGAAATTCCCTTCACATCTACATAAGGATACCCACAAATAGAGGTGAAAAACACACGTCATCTCAGAACAGAATTCAGCATTAAAGAATTATTTTAAACAACTTTAATGGAAGACCCACATCCTCAATAGTGTAAGAAAATCTGTGCAGGTGCCATATCCTTAAAATCATAATTACCATCAAATAGCATGTGGTACCTCTACTTCTCATATGCAATAGAAAAAAGTTATGCAAAGATTGAAATAAAAGAAAAAAAGCTAAAGAACAAATAAGTAAAATAAGAACAGTTTTGAAAAAAAGATTGAACCTCCACGAAAATAAATGTAGGTGCAAGAAATATGTACTTCCTACAAAAAATACTTCCAATGAGAGGAAAATATAACTCTCAAAACCTAATCAAGAAGACCCAAAAGTAGTTTTCTTCACATGCTCCTCCACTTCTTTAATTTTTCTCTGCTTATCTCATTCTAATATTTTTTTATTTGTTTCATAAAAATTGAAATGTCTATCTTATATTCACTGAAGTAAAAAGATAATGACTGAAGGACAGGATTTGCCTAGATGCATCAAGTCAAATTATATCAGTTTGACATTTCTGTTACTTGAAGTCAATAACACAAAATTGTCATCAGGAATGTGATATATCTTTTTTAATAAAATTGATAAACTGATGAATACAGCATTTTTATCACTCTCGCTACATTTAATACTCAATAGAATGTTAAGAACTCAGTCACTGCATGACCACTAAAACAGGTGTAATGAATGCAATGAAAAACAAGGCAATGGTATATTTTTCTGTCTTCTGAAGACGGTTGATTTGCAGATGACTTTAATAAAAACTGATTAGTGCTGATTCATACACAAGTATTTTCTCATAATTTGTAGTTACATGAGACAAAATTGTATTTTATGTTCAATATAATGCTCGAAATATGCTACCTTCGAAAAATGCCACGAGCAACTTTTTCCCTTCTGTATCTTCAGGTGTTTTATACTCAAGGAAAATAATCTTACTTCTCCAATCAGAAATAACGGACGTGATGGACCAAATATTCCAATTTACACGATATCCATGTACATCCATAATTCAGAAAAGGTTTTCCACAATAAATTGAGTTTAACAACACCTAAGATGCATATGTACACATGCAAACATACACACACACACACACACATACATATTGTAAGCAAGTCATGATGATACAAAATGATAAATAAAATAACCCAATAATTCGTTCAAATTAAAAGTGATTTTACAACATCACAAATAAAAAAAAGTAGGGCACAATTGATAAAAAGATGAAATTTAAATATTACATTATAAATAGAAAATAAGTTTATTAACAAGTTAGAAAGCACAAAAAAGTGAAAATAATATCTTTCGTAATATCACAAATGAATTGAGCTTAAAATTAAATATCCCAAAACATTATTCAATTAAATGTTTCATGGACAGCACTTTTTTCTTGCATTTCCTCTACACTGAAGAAATAATATATTAATAAAGCAAAATAATGGATTAAATTTAATTCACAAGAATTTTCAATAAACTGCTAAATTTGAACTTGTAACATCTAACAATTAAATTTGAAAATTTCTTACCTACATGTATGCAGGAGGATTGTGACATATTATTCTGCAAGGTGTGAGTAATATCATAGCTATAACTGTAAAGAAAAATCAATTAACTCTCTTGTCATCCAAATGAATATATTTGTTTCTGAAAATACCAATAAAGGAACCAAATACCTGAAGTAAAAGTTACTAGAAAGATCTATGTTCTGGAACATTTTTACATAACGAGCTTCATCAGGATGACATATTCGAACCCCATCATTAGGAATATATATCATAGTAGTATCTTCTATCTTATATATTGTATGATGGCCAATAACAGCAACACGTCGACGTTTTGTAACCAAAATGAGATAATATCCCTCCAGAAATTTCACAAAACCTATGAAGTATCACATATGGTCATTTTTAATATTGAACATACATCTGTCGCAATGTCGCTCTCAAAACATCTACACTTTGCTTTGGAACAGAGCTTCTGATACAGATATGAAAAAAGTGAAATTAGCAACAAATCATAATTAGAAAATATAATTTCAATAATACATTTTTTTATGAGATTAACACATACTGATGATGTTTCCTTTTTTTGAGTGAAATATTTTTTGACAAGTCTTACTGTTCTATTGGGATGTCATAACATGTACCTTTGCAAGCCCAGTTCATCATTATCTAGCAACATAACAAAAGATAACAATGTCTACATTACTACCAGTAAAAACTTTTTAGAGAAAATCATACTTAGAAATAACATTCATATAGATAATTAGGTTGGTAGAGTGAAATTTTCAACAGTTTTTATTCAGTGATCCATTTGAGAACAGCTGTTTTAAACTTGCCAAGGAAACCCTTTTTTGCTTACCATTTCCTAAGCAATCTGTAATACATATAATAATAAACAAAATAATATGTATAATTTAAAGATGAAAATTATTTATTTATAGAAAAATTCTCAATTGATGCCCATTACCAAAACTGTAAGTTGTAAGAAACTGAAAAATAAACAAAGTCCTATTTTCACATTCTTCAAAACATTGTTATTTTTTTAAGAAGTGGATTCGTGATAACAAATTAGAAACACTTTGGGCATATGATTTGAAGTTTGCCTTGTAAACCTACTTACCTACAATACCAAAAGCTGAAACAATACGTGACACTCCATTGCTAGATGACTTTTGACCAACTCGTCGGTTACCAACATCAATCATAGTAACAAGATTTCTGATCTCATCTTTGGTATATTCTACTTTATCATCTACAACAGACAACTCACGGGGTTCCATTCGATCAATTTTTAAAACTCGAAATCTGGTCTGAGTATTATTGGAACCCATCAGATAAAATCTCTAGAAAAAAATTAATAATTACAATGGTACTCCCAACATTGCTATTAGAAATACGTTTGATTTAATTTAAAAAAATATAGTAGTGTACAGTTTTTTTAAAATACTTACAGCCTTTGTTTCATAAAGAGCGATTTTTTGAATACTGCTGATAACTGGATGAAATATTACATGCGGCTTCATTATGATATATTTTTACGCTTCCTGTCAGTGGATTAGAAAATGAGCGCCCAAGACTAGTCAATAAATCCTATCTGATGTTTCAATGCTATTCAACGGTAAGCAAATTCAATTGATTCGTTTCATTTAATAACTTTCCGTCATCTAGACACAGTGTCAACACTTTCACTCTACGAAACCTAACATAACCTTGGCGACATCATACGACCACTTGTCAAACGAAGACTACTATCAAATCTCCTACCACCTCCCACTTCGGACTAGTTTTGAATGCTCGCTCGCAATCGGTTTTCCCCGTAAACATGAAAAAGACAAGAAGATCATATGTGAAAACAAACTTTGACAAAATGCTTGTTATTTTGAATGATGTCGTCTAAAACTGCCTAAAACCAAAACTATGGAAACGTGTGCATTGGTAACCTTCCTAAGGCAGATTGATTATACTTGGGTTTGAATTTCTTGGCGCGTGAGAGCCTATTTACACGATGGCTTATATCTGACAGCATTTCATGTCTTTCTCAGAGGTGCCGCTAGATATCGCATGATCGCGACCGTATCGAGCAGTGCTGGCGATCATGCAGCACGACCGAGAAAGAAGCGAAATGACGTGAAACATTCCATCGTGAAGATAGCCCCTCACGCGCCAAAAAATAAACCCAAGTATAGTATTAAAACTTAATTCGACTACATGTAAACTTTCCCTTAATTTCAAAATCCACAAAGGTTATAGTGGAATAAGATAGGTGAATTTGGTCCACGACCAAACTAGGAGAGGACGTTATTACCTTATACCCAAAATTACCTAGAAAAATGATTTTATTAAAATTGTTTATGTCACTACGGTCACGTAATATCAAAAATCCCCCCTTTTCTCACATTTGACGCTATATCACAGCGATTTTTCTATTTTTTAAAATGTAACGTGACGAACTGTATTCTTTAGAGAATTGTCTAAGATATACAATAATTTATCATTTTTTGACACTTTAACATCAGTCTACGTGACTATTTTCACTAAAAATGGTAAGTTTTTATAAAACAATTTCAAGGTGAATTCTTCTTCTAAGAATATAATGACTATTTTTACCAGATTCCTTGTCAAAAATACACCAATAATTGATTTTTTGTATTCCAGCCTTATGAAAGTACCTTTTCTGTTGCAAGAAATCGTTCATAATCGGACATTTTACGGCACAAATTATGACGTATTAGATTTTATGTCACGAGTGATTGCGTCATCACACATTCAGCCAATCATATAGAGAGAATCGGGGGGAGGGGGTAGAGCTAAACGAAACAGCGGATCACCGTTTACTCGCATGATATCAAATATATACCCGAGTCGTCATTGGGAAGTTGTTTTGCAAGATTAAGTTTGATTCTCTTATAAATGTAAAATGCTGTTATACAAAAAAATACAGTATGCAACTCGTTTATAATGTTACTTTATTACATTCGTAAAAATTTGAAAACTCGCTCCTAAAATCGCTCGTTTTCAAAACATGTACTCATGCAGTAATGCTTAACATTATAAACTAATTGCATAAACTGCTAGTTTGATTTCATTTGACTTTGTGGTAAAACTCATTTTCGGACATAGAAATGAATTACTTGTTAGTCTTAAATCAATAATAATAGTAATAATAATAATAATAATAATAATAATAATAATAATAATAATAATAATAATAATAATAAAATTATTTTACGAATGAATTACATCGATACAGTGTACATCAGATGCTACTATTTACATAAAAAATTAGAACAACAAAAGCCATTACCATACAAACGACAAAACAAGTATAAAGAATACTAATTTTGCTTGACTACTTTACATCATGTTAAACCTGTTAGCAATAATGGCTTTCTTCTAAAATAAGTTTTATCAAGTACACTTCAAACTGTCAGGACTTTTTGTACTTGTAAGAGAGGGGGGTGTTACTTTGTACTTTGTTCTTTTGTTTTGTGTATTGCCGTTGTTGTCTACTACTTCTGCTCCTACTGCTACTGCTGCTGCTGCTGCTGCTGCTGCTGCCACTGCTACTGCTACCTCTTTTGCTACCGCTACTATTGCCGCTGCCGCAGCTGCTACTGATACTGCTACTAATACTACCTCCGCAACGCCTAGCGGGCAAGACCGGGACGACGACGCTTACAGCACAGCGGGAACCTCAAAGAGAAGAGGGGACCACGGCATAGCTGACAGACAAAAAGGAAAGGGAACTGAACCCATTCGAGAGAAGGTCAGAAATACATGGAGAAATTTCTACTAGAAAATGTGAATGAATTTAAATTCAAAATATCCTGGTTATGCTGAGAAATGAAAGAAAAAAATCGTTTGTTTATACATGATGTCCTAATCCCTTGTGTTATCCACGAATTGCTTTTCCATGAAATATTTAATTTTCTCTTTTGAAGAGGAAAGCAAGTGTTAAAATGAAATGAAAGCGTTACAAAAAAATAATTGAATTTATCGTTTGCATAAATAGTATTGTAAACCTCGTCGCATGCCTCTTGCAGCAAGTAATTGATGAATAATTTTATTTTGCATATAGTAAATAATCTACTAATTCGTGTATTATTTATTGGGTCATATGAATAAAAATGAGCACTTGCTCATGAGTACTTGCTCCGGAGCAACGTGAGTCTACTCCGCGGCACTGAGCAGAAGCTCCATTTCGTATGAATGAAAACTTCGTATGTCTCCGAAGAACTTACTCATGTCTCGCTGCTCGTCGTGAACAAGTGATAGTGCAGGCTAATAGTTTTAAAAATTGGTTTCTTGAGCAACAAAGATGTTACATACGTTACGCGCGTCGCGCACATATGTGCGGAATAAAGAACAATGGTTCATTCTTTAAATTCGAATATTAATAACAATAACGCAAAACAGGCGCTAGTGGCCCAGCTAATTTTTACCGAAATGCTAAGTGAATATAAACTTATTTTTGAAAAGAGCCAGCTTTCGGAAGTACTCTGTGGCCGAAACGAAACATTACAAAGTTTCAAAAAACAGTACCCCGAAAAATTCCAAGTAGAAAAGAGCGATGGACAATTAACATAGAATATATGCAATATGAGAAAGCGCCTGAAAGCAAACGCCAATAAAAATCGTACCAACCATACATTGTACTTTTCGAATCGGCAAAGTTTCTAATAGTCTGCAACATGAGAATTTCGCCTAATCTTGAATTTTTTTAGTCCACTGCATATGCATATCAACACACGGTAAAAAATCGGCCAATTTAACCTTACTTTTTAAACGTGAGTCTGCTACTAAGGTCCCTCCGAAATTTTGGAGCAAGTGCTCACTCTTGAGAGTAAACGCTTAACTTTATTCATACCAATTCTGAGCATTTGCTCGCCAGTTGAGAGTATGCTCAGAGTTGGAGCAAGTGCTCAGAGACTGAGCAATTGCTTACCCACTTTATTCACACGAAAATGAGTAAAATCTCGGAAACTCGGAGCAAAGAGTACTTGCTTACTTTAATTTACAATCCATTGTGTCAGTGTTCGCATTTCTTATAATGGTAAGAATTTATGTATCGTGATCACTGAATCCTAAATCTTTTGTTTCAATTTCGTATAGAGTAGTGGTTTTGTTAATTATTATTTTATCAATTGCCATTGAATTTAGTGAGATCCGTGTAGGTACATTTATTTTAATGCCTAAATTGAAGGAATGAATTAAATTGAGAAATTACTCTATCTCGCAGGATTCGACCAGGGTATCAATGTTAAAATCTCCATATACAACAATGGATTCAAAAGAGCGATTGGTGACTTTGCTTAGTATTATCTCCAGTTTTTTAAGAACATAATGTAATCTACTGCTCTCTTAGTTGGAGGTCTGTAAATGCAAATTAACATAATTTTTAGCGTAGGAAGATGTACTACAGATAATTCAAAATAATTTTCAACGAAATACACATATAATTTCGCCAAGGAAATATAATCAATTTTATTTCTAACGTAAAAGCATGAACCCCCATACACAGGACCTTCATATGATTCCTTTTCTCTACAATAATAGCCTGCAAGGTAAAAGTTTGTAATTTGGAAAATGCTTAGCTCATTATGAAATAATCACTTTGCTGTAAAGAAAACAACATCAATTTGATTTAAATCGCTCTGTAGACCTGCTTCGATAAACTAAAGTTTTATTTGAAAGGGATTGAACATTATAGTGTATGTTTATCTTTTGCAAGTACATACACGGATGTTTTACTACTGCATCTGTCTGTAGTTGCTATATATTTACTCCACTTTTACCTCGAGTGCGTGGTTGAAGGTTGTAGTGTGTCCCTGCAGTGACAGGTTGTGAGGAAACTGAGGCATCAGGTGTAGGTGAATTGGTAGTGGTAGAGGGAGAAACGCGAGAAGGATCAGGGGAGGAGGTATGTGGGTTCGAAATAAGAGTGGGGGTGGAGATCGTAAGGAAGGTGAAAGGGATTGATTTTTGGCAGGAGACTGCGTAGGACTGGAGTTGATGATGTGTTGCGCAAGCTTGTTGCCTACTGCATGTTTTCCAGCATGGTTCATGTGGAGACTATGCTGGGTGAAGTGTTTTGCTGAGAGGAAATTAATTTAAAAAAGTGTAACATTTATTTCTCTCAGTTGCAGTTTTAATTGTTGGTTTACGTGCTTAATCTCGCTGCATAGAGTTGATCTATTGTACCAGAAAGGCAGAGTCGAGACTACAATGTTAGTGTTTTGGGCGGCACGTTGTAACTTGTTTAATTAATGCCCAAATTAATATCATTTTGCCCTCCTATGATACTGACTGTGTCCTGATTCGTCAGAGTCTTTGTGTGGGTGTCCAACTCGGCAGTCACGACTGCAAGCCTCCCGTTAGATTTTAAAATAGATGAGACTGGGTAGTTGGAGTGTAATTTCCTACTGAGAATGGAGGAAAGATGGTGGCCATGGCTGTCAGCTAAAATAAGTACTTGTTTTTTAGGCTCAGTAGGAATGTCTTTGTTTTCAAGTGGTCTAGAATGAGCAGCTTTACGTGTTTTGGTTTTGATACGCTTCCTAGCCTATTTGCGTTGGTTAGTGCATGTATTTATCGATGGCTGGGAAGACTTCTGAGGATCAGAAAGAAGAGGGAAATCTGTTTCATAATCTAAAGCCCTAAATTTGTTTTATGTTTACGCTAAATTACTGTTTTTTGTATGTGAAAGCTTTCAGGAGGTTGACTTAGAGAGTGTAGAGAGTGAAACGAGTAGAACGATTAATTACCATGTCACGAATGCGTTTTAATGTTCTTGATAAAATTGGAATAAAAACAAAAAACTTAAATAAGAGCAACACGCAGTTAGTTTAATATTTTGAAAGTGTAAGATTGATATGTATTCAATAAATTAAAAAAATATAATTCGATACTTGAATGAGAAGGTGCGTAGTTTACAAAATTGATTGAAAGCTAGTACTTACGAAATTTGGATATGTGATTCTGTAGATTGTAGCCCACTTAAGCTGCTA